TCGGCCTTCATGGCGATGCTAAACTTAAAGTTTAGCATCGCCATGAAGGCCGAGACCGCCTGTTTCAGACGTTTGGTGGCCTTCTGCTCCTAAACCTCGTCTTCTGCTGCGTGAAGATCGCAGGCATCTTGGCCATCAAGTGGCTCCTCTTGAAGTTCCCTGTCTTCACACGGCCTTGAGGTCCGAAGTGAAGAGGGCCAGAGTCCGACACCTTTGATGTGCGCTGCCTTGCTCCGGGACACGGAGATTCTGGCGACGCTTCGGAACAAAGGCACAGACAAGGACGCAACGAACAGTGATGATCGGAGGCCGCTCCACCTCGCCGCATGCAACTGCAAAGCCGAGTGCGCGGACTTGCTTTCAAGGCCGGTGCCAAGAAGGGCGTGCAGGACACAGACGGCGAAACAGCGCTGGATGTGGCAAAGTCGCTCCTCGAGAAGGCCAGCGGCTCCACGGGGCCCTCACGTCGGGGCTCCCAGATTCAAGTGCCCAAGTGAGCTGAGAAGTGTTCCAAGTCCACGGAGCGGCATCTGCAACTCTTCGATCCGAAATCCATGGGCCGGAGTTTAGTGCGGCATGCCCACAAATAAAGGATGCTTGCAGCACCTCGCAGAAACTCTCATCTTCAACATCCTTGGACTCTATTTGTTGCGATTTTTCAATGTGGTGCATTCATCTCTGCCCTGTACAACTTGCCTCAAAGTGCAGGAACGGGATGGAACGGGTATCAATTCGTGCATTGGCACTGGCGATCCGGGTCTCGAAGATGGACAAGCGCTTCAAATAGTGCAGAGCATCTTGAGATCCGAAAAGGACGTGGCCATTGTAGTCCAGGATGCCGAGGCTGAAGTGCTTCCACAGCTTCAGCGGCCTGAGCTTGGAGAACTTGAAGAACTCGCTGCTCTCGGAGGTGTGCCCTTTTTACATGCGCCCCTGTTTCCCAACACTACTGACAGAGCTCACAACCCTTCAAACCGTAACTTCCCCGCTGGGCCTAAACCCAAGGCCTTGAATAACCCTGATCATAGGAGCGTGGGCCCTAAACTTGCAAACGCTAAGGATCGGCAGCGCCACTATCACGGAGCGGTTCGGCCTCAGGCGCTGGGCCTACGCTGATGGCAAGTTGCTCTTGAACGGCGAGGTGCAGCCTCGGCTTGTCGGTGCTGGTTTTTTTTTAAGATGTTTTGGGCTGAGTGTTTTTAGACCCAGGGCTTAAGATAGGACTTAGGGTTCAGAAAGACATGAGTTGGAGTCGACTCTCGGGACCCCAAGCGCACTGTGACTGTGAGCTGTGGTTGTGGGAAGTTTGATGTGAGATGGTGATGGCTCGGGAGACTCAGCTGCGTGTTGAGCGCGTTTGGGAGTTTCCTTAGCTTTATGCTCTGCCTGGACTGTATGAGGGTGCGTGGGACGTTTGGATGAGTGCATGTGTGGGCATGACTAGTAGACGCTGAACAATCGTTGTGCAGGTGCTGATTAAACGCCATTTATAACATGTGTGAGAGAAATGTCTCAGGAAAGACAAAGAGGAACAATGTGTGTTAACAGGTTGAGATGATGTCAAGAAGGGCCCTGAACCCTGAACCACCCTAACCCTAGGCCCTAATCCGTGCGGGCTCGTCCTTGCTAAGTGGGAGGGAAAAAATCCGTGAAAAGACTGATGAGAGGCCGTGAAGCTTCATGGCTGGAATCACCATACGCAGTGGATCGACACAGGCAAAGAGGTTTCAGGGCTTGGTTTCGGATTCTAGAATCTTCTAGAAGGTTGTTGTGGGATTTGCAAAGGCTTTATGATTAACCTTTGGGTTTTGGAAGAGTTAGCATATGGGCAGCATGATCCCACCTACCTGAAGGCTCATGTGTAGTTCGCACAAGGTGGTGTTGCAAGGGTCGGTGATGTGTGTTGTGTGTTCGACGGATTGTCCGTTAGCCGTTCATGCAAAGGAAGCTTGTCTTGCACATACGTATTCATACATGAGTGATTGCCGTAACGGGAACCGGTTGACCGTAACGTTCCTGTCTATTTTGTTTGTTTGGCTGGCTGGCTGGCTTGCTGCCTGTCGTAGTATACAAAACAAATTATATACATATACACATATGTCTATACATCTATTTATATATGCTTATATGGTTGTGTGCTTATGAGAACTACTGTAGGGTTGCAGATAAGGCAAGTAAATGATTCGTTCCACGTGCTTGTGTGTGCGCGTGTCGTTTAGCCGCCTTTACGAACTCAGTTGAACCCCAACTCCAAAAAGGGCCAGAAAAGACTTTACAGGAGGCCCTTTGGTGGACCGCTCCTGTTCCAGCGAGACGGCATGTCAGCCCTGCAACCAGAAGCCAGAGGTGCTTCTCCAACAGACAGCCAGCTTGACCAGGAGGGGGCGCCGGGTACATGGCGGGTGCTTGGGCTTGTACAAGGGCCCTGGGTTAAAGCACCCTTAAGACTTAAGACTTTAGCGGCCCAGGACCTAGCACTGAGGTGTAGGGTGTGCGGAAAGAGCACAGATCAACTTGCTTCGGGCGGAGGGGTTTGGATCGAGTATGGTTTTGCCTGTTCCCAGTACATGCGACAAGGTAAACAATTGACACACACGCACACACAAACACACTCCTGAGCCCCTTAAGAATATTGCAGGGATTGCGCAATGCAGAGGGAGATTGGGAGCTCTGTTTGTGGTTGCAGCTTTGTTCAATCCTGCACGGCCAAAAGGGTTTCCCTCAGAGGAATCTGAATTCTGCTTGCGGGCTTCCTCATCCCGGCCATGCGGCAACACTCCGGAATCACAGCTACAGGCAACAAACTGTTTTTACACAGGAACGATCAAAGGGAAATTCCTACCATGTCTTCCGGCTCCTATATTAGGGCATGAGGCATCGAGCCCAAGTCTCCTCAACCCCTACAGCTCCATGGCTACCATGAACACACCTGAGTACATGTGCTTGTGGCAAGTTTACACCAACCTAGCCCTTGAACTGTAAGGAAAATACACAACCCCCAGGCCCGAAACCCCAAACACTATAATTAGGGTTTAAGGTTTCGGGGTTTAGGGGCCCGGAGAGGACTCCCAAAAGAATTAGGGTTTAGGGTTTAAGAGGACTCCCAAAAGAATTAGGGTTTATAGGGTTTAGGGGCCGTAGGAGGCTCTAGCGCCAGGACCTCGCTCTGCTTCGTGAGGGCCACGCCAACTTCGTGAGGGGAGCGCAACTCGCCTTTCAGTTTCATAGGACTTTTTAGGACTTTTAGAAGAGACTTGTTGGGTTTTCGATGTCCGGGGGTCTTGAAGTGTTTTGGGTCTTGGTCAGTTGTTTTGGGGGTTATTGCTGTGTCTTGTCTGCGGACTGTTTAGGATTTCGGGTGCTCGGGTCTAGGAGTCCGGGACTCCAGGGTTTGAGTTTCATAGTGACATAGTGGTTAATGTTAACATAGGGTCTAAATCATTACCTGTACTATTTTGGGGGTTCCTTATAACGATAGTATATGGGGCCCACAACCCTGTGCTAATCATTAAGGCGGCCCCTACAACAGGGTGAAGCAGAGTGGTGTGCCATTCCTGGGTTCCTGGACTTTTTGATGTGGCGCGCTTTGCCGGGCTAAGTCCTACAGCTAGGTACTGGTGGTGAGAATTTTGCAACGTAGGGCCATGGGGTTTAGGGTCAGTAAGGCGCTTCACATAAAGGTAGGCCATGGTAGCTTAAGGAATATATGATATGCTATATATTATATAGAATGTATAATGTATAGTATATAATATATAATATATAATATATCATATATAACATATAATATATAATATATAATATATAATATATAACCGGTATACCGTAGGCCCCAAGCATCCTCAGCCTAACCTCCCAGGCACTATCCGCAGGATCAGCGTTGGCTCGACCGGCTAGACGAGTCCGGCATGGCGATGTGGGCGACCCGGCCTCAAGTGCACGGGGCCTCTTAGGGGTTTAGGGTTTAGGGCTTAGGGGTTTAGGGCCTCTTAGCGCTTCAGCTTGAGAAAGGTTTCGGGCCCTTTGGGGAAAGCCCACGGCTGACAAGGGTTTAGCAGGATGACACTCATGGCAGTCATAGCAAACAAGCACGTGTTACAGGTTCAAGGGTTCTGGCCCTCTTTCGAACACCCTGTGCGCTGCCCCAAGGCCCGGGTGGGCCGTCTTCTCTCGCCCCCTCTATCTTCTATCAGTGATCTGATGAGGTGATCTGATGTTATCTGGATCTACTGTGTCTACCTATAGAGACTACTTTTGTGCTTATGCCTATAGATGTGCATCTGTCGTTGGCCCCTCTGCCCATGCCAAGGTCCCATTCTCCACAGATCTATGTATTTGCTTATCCACTTGTCCAGCCAGTCTTCTCCTTCAACGTACGTATCTACCTATGAGTCCTCCGACATGATTCGTGTCTATCTCTTAAATGTCGAAAAGCGAAGAATCCCAAATCCTTGCCAAATCTCGAGAAGCTCCTAAACTCTAAACCCTTAACCCTGAACCGGACCTCATCAGTGCCTGCCCGGTGCGAGTACGCGAGTCACAACTCTAAACGTCAGCGTGTGCAGAAATACTGCGCCAAGGTTGATGCTCACCGTTCCCTGAAGCCTCAACCTACAAACCCAACCATGACCCATGGTAGCTGAGCAGGTAGCCTTAACATCTTGGGTTAAATGATGTAATCCATCCTAAACCCGGCCGGGAATTAAAGCACTTACACAAAGAACCCTGAAAACTAAACCCTACAAGGCATAAGCCCTGAAGCTCAACCCTAGACCCTATAAATCCTAAGCCGCAACTCTAAACTCCAAGTCTACACCCCAAGCCCCAAGCTTAAACCCTAGACCCAAACCTTGAAGCTTTGGGAAAGAGGAGCTCCAAGCACAACAACAACCAAACCCTACAGCCCATATTTAAGGGTTTAGGAGCCTAGACCCTAAACCCCAGGAGACCCTCAAGCCCATATTTAGGGCTTTAGGGGTTTATTAGGGGTTTAGGGTTGTGGTCTAGGCCCCTAAACCTCAGGAGACCCTAAACCCCAGGAGACACTAAAAACCCATATTTAGGGGTTTGGGGGTTTAGGGCCTACAGGCTCTAGGCCCCAAAAAAACCCAGGAGACCATATTTAGGGCTTTTGGGGTCTATAGGCTTTAGGTCCAAAAAAACCCCAGGAGGAGACCTTGGGTCCCGGGGTGACGGTGGAGGACTTGCAGGACCCTCGGGCTGCTACGACCGGGCTGAAGCAATGGGGTTTAGGGGTTTAGGGGTTAGGGTTTGGACACTGCAAGTCCGTGCTTAAGAAAAGGGGTTTAGGGGTTTAGGGGGTTTAGGGTTTAGGGGGGCCTGGATGCTTAGAGTAGGGCTCATTTCAGGGTTTTAGAAGGGTTTAGGCGAGGCATCTAGGATTTTCGGGCTGACAAACTAGAATAGCGCTTGGGGGGGGCCCATATTGCATTCATAGTGAGCAGCCCTCAGGAATAGCATGGGTAAGTCTTCCGGCTTCTAAATCAGGGTTTGGGATTATATGGTTTACGGCCTTCGAGCTGAGTAGCATGTCAGTAGTGTTGAGGTTTGGGGAGCTACAGGGTTTGGGTCATTTGTTTTGGGGAGGGGCGATGGGGTGGTAGAATCTCGTACCTAAATGCAAATCCCTGATAAAGGTAACCCCTCTCGGTAACCCCTCTCCCTCAATGAGGATTGCAACAGGCATCCGAACAAGTACACAGGCCCTTACAGAAAGAGTGTTTTCAATACGGGGTTTCCTAAACCCTAAACCCCGAACCCCTGAACCCCTAAACCCTAAGCCTATCTCGGCTGAGTACTGGGACCGGCCCGTCGTCACCTTCTGGGCCTTGCGCGACAAGCGCTTGGCTCCAGTTGGAGGAGGGTGGTTGGTGCACGGGGCAGTGCTCACTGCTGGACACGTGCTTGACGCGATGAATGTGCTCAAGGAGCAAGGCGCGGAGATTTACGTAGGGCGCTGCCACCGTGAGGTTTGCAACGTCCACGGCCTTTTTAAGTTCGACCCGAAACTCATCGCACGGCCTTCCGTCTCTGATCTCAAGAGGAACCCAATTGCTGGGGACTTCGCTTTGGTCGAGGCTCCGAAGAACGTTGCTCAACTTGGGCTTAAGGTTGGACGCGTTGGTTTTTCCGCTGTCAGCAATGACGTTGTTTCTTCTGGCCATTATCGCTTGGTTTCTGGAAAGTGGGTTTTCCACAGGACGTTTGGAATTTGTCAGTTTGGGACCCCCTCGATTGCTGGTCAAGAGCATCCAGGGGCTTGCTTTTGGTCTGGCGAGTCTCAGTCGAGTGCGTCAGGGTTCCCACTGTTGTCTGCCACCAAGGAATTGGTCGGTGTCAACATTGGAGCTCTAGAGACCGAGAATCGCTCGACCGCTGTGGCCGCGAAAGCTACGTCTATTTTTCGCTATTTCATATCCAGGCGTCGGACGTTTTTCAGTAAAAGCCGATTTGGAGTTGTTCCCCAAGGACTCGAGCCCCCCAAAGGCAACATGCCCCATGGCCCCGTTTTCAACCAGCACTCTCGTAAGAGGGAAGAGGATGACGACGAGGCCAAATGGGAGGCTGACGAGGACGAGGAGGACGACGATGAGGCTTATGCTAGGAACGAAGACGAGGAAAGGGAGCTGCGTGAGATTGACGATGCTGACGACGAGGATGCTGCAGCGGCTGAGCGGGAGATTACGCACGCCGACACAGCTCCGACCTCGGAGTTTGCACAAGAGTTGCCAGGCTTCGGCATCTCGAGATCTGTCACATTTTCCAATCGTCGCTCTAAAGTCCGCAAGCACGATGGCTCAAGTCTTGGCCGAGCGCCTGTTGTGAAGGAGGTTCCTTCGCCTCCTGATTACGAGAGGAAGAGTCGCCCTTTCAAGGTTGGGGAGAACGTGAAGGTTAAGCAAGATTACCGGCCCAAGTACTGTGCGTGTTCTGTTATGGCGACAGTTGGTGCTACGTGCGCTATGTGCACGTACTTTTGGTCACACGCCGACAAGCTTGCTCATGCTGTTTGCGGGACCTTGACAGAGGCTGATTCGCTGCGCAAATCCGATGTGCGAACCGCCCTTTTGCGCGAAGTGCCCTTGACGGCATTTGAGCGCGACATGCAGGTTTTCAAGTCCAAGCCGGGCAACTTGTCTGAGGCGGTTTGTTTTGCCAAGGACAAGGCGGGCGACGCTTTTCTTGTTGAGGCTGGCACCTGCTCCAAGCCCCGTTTTAACCAGAAGAAGAAGAAAGACTCTGGGCTTTCTGAACCACAGAAGCTCAAGGACGCTTGCGCAAAGGTCGACATCGAACTCAACGCGCTTTTGCCGGACAGAAGTACCGAAGGACAGATTTCCTCGCTGAAAGCGAACGTGGCCAAGCGGCTCAAGGACCCTTTTAAGGGGACTAGGGCAGAGCTTGCCGCTACCGAACCGTTTTGCAGCTTGGAGGTCGACCCGGTAGATGTGTCTGACGAGGCCGCGGTGAGGAAAGCGATCTTGTGCGGGTTTGCCGATCTCAGGATGGACAAGTCCGCTGGTTCTGATGGGCACCTCAACGGCGCCGCCACCAAAGGTGAGCTCCTCATGGCCCACCGTGGCGACGTCGAAGAGGCTGCTCTTCGAAGGATCAAGCGGTTAGTTTTGCTGCGTGACGTAGTCTCGCTCTTCACTGGCACTGAGCTTGTCGAGCTGGGCGTCAGGTCTCCTGTTTTCCCGTCGATCAAAGATGAATTGACGGAGTTGCACAAATGTTTTGAGTTTGTCGAGGGGCGCATTTATTTGACGCCCGACGGGCGGCGCGTTCAACTGCTGCATCCCCGGTGGCGCTCAATTTTGGTTCAATCCACGATAGACCACGTTGTTCAGTACGTTCTTTACAAGCCCTTCTCTCTTGCGGAGGTCGCCCTACTGCAGGAAGGCTCGGTCGGCCAAGCGGTCGACGAGAGCTCCTTGGTGGGAGTTAGCACGTCAGATGAGGGTCTTGTCAGGTTCAGGTCTCTGCTCGACGAGGTCAGGTCGCGAGGAGACGGTCGAGTCCGTTCCAGTGATGTCACTGGGATGGACTGGTCCGTTGGACGGACCGGCGCCCTTGACGCCTATTTTTGTTTGCGCAATTCGAGCAGCCGTGACGAACGCTTCGTGTCTGCTGTAACAGCACAAGCTTGGTCTTTGATCAACAGCACTTATGTTGTTGGAGGGACTTGGCTTGCTCAGCTTGATTACGGGGTTGTCCAGACCGGCAGCTTGAAGACGTCTCAACAGGACGGGGCGCCGCGCCGCGTTGATCACGTTCTCAACACCGGCGTCATTTTGGACGACGACCATATGGTTGCCGACGTCGCGTCTTCCACCCTCGATTATGGTGATGACCAAGTTGCCTCAGTCCCCACGGAGGAGCTGTGCGCTACACGTGAGTTCTTAGTCGATTGGAAATCGCCTTTTGAGGAAAGAGACGTGTGTGTGAGCAACCCCGGCGAGCCTATCGATACCTTGGGCCGGTTTGTCTTGGAGAGGCATGGTCGGACTGAGTACGAGCTCAAGAAGTGGCGGAACTCTTTGATTAGCATGATCGCCGCGTCGCTCGATGGAGATCGGGCCGCAGGCGTCGTGTCTGACCAGATCCGCTCTTTTAGGTTCGAGAACAGGTTCAACCAGGAGGCTCTCCACAAGCTAGACGAGGTGTTGGAGACCTTAGGCTTGACTCATTTTGACGTCGTCCCCATGAACGACGCTGTAGCCCCGCCGCTTGGAGAGATGGCGGACTAGCGGAACACCTTACCTGGTCAACCAGGAAGGAATAAAGAAGCGAAATACCTTACCTGGTAAACCAGGAAGGAACAAAGAAACTAGTATACCCTTTTTTTATTTACCTTTGATTTGGTCAACCAGGCGGGAATAAACTTTTTCTTGAATTCGTTTCTGCACGGCCGTAAAGGGTCCGACGGGACCGCCCCTTCTACACAGGGGAAAACGTGACAAGGTGGCAGACATCAAGCCTTGTGAGAAATGGTGAATTTGGGAATTCACACTGCCGCGGTCTTTCGTGTGGTGTTTACGAGCACGTGAATTTATTGCTGCTGGAGAATTTGGGAATTTATTAATGCTGGAGAATTTGGGAATTTACACTGGTACCGCCTCTTGTGTCACATTGTGGGGCACGAGCACATGAATTTATTTCTGCATGACATGGGGTTGTGACTGCATGAGACAACATGGAATACGTGTGCTGAGACGATGGCGAATTAGGCAGGATATGCCCTGTGCCTGGCTGCGTGGACGGACAATGATGGTGGGTGTGCGCTGTTGTCTTGTAGTCTGCCACCTGGTTGGGACGGAAGTTGTCCTGCTGCATGCATATATCCCAGCGAATGTGGTGTGCACCACTGATGTGTGCATGAGAATTTAGGAGCTTGGTTACTGCCACTGAAGCCTTCTGCATGTGAGTGTGCGTGTGAGCAGTCTGTGCGATGTGGGTGCGAGTAGAATTTGTGCCACTTTTCAAACTTGGTCAGCATGATGCCCATGCTCTGTACCACTAGACTTCTGACATGTAGTGGAGAGTGGGATAATGTTCCTATTGCTGAGACGCCTGGATCCTGTTGACAACGTGTGGAGCTCATTGTTATTTGTTGGGCTTTGATACCTTTACTTGTTTGTGCTTCGGGCTCCAGGGTCTCCTTGGCGTGACGTGACTATGTGCAACCTTGCCTGCCTGGTGCGAGTGTGAGAGTCGAAACCCTTACCCTACAGGGCTGGGGTGGAGACTTCAAGGTTGTTTTGCTCCAGCTAGGCTGCTGCACACTCAAGCAGTGATGGCCTGTGGTACTGTTGATGATAGAACATTTGCATTGCCTTAAGGCCCCTAAACTGTAGGAATTATGGTCTATCCCTTATTATGGGTAATGCAGGATGTATATCATCAACCGTAGTTGTGTTTTCTTTTCTGATGCTCTGTCACTTTTTGGGGAGCTCTTGGGCATCAAACCGCGCAAGCCTGGCACTTTGGGTTTTCTGGATGGAGTGGAGGTAGCGCACCCGGGCAGGGACGCTACTGGACGTTTGTCATCGGGAGAGGTGAAGCTGTGCGCGTAATTGGACCATGTATCCTAGCCCTATAATTAAACACTATGAGCCCTCAGCCCTACCTCCCTAAAGGCAGCCTACACATGTCGGGGTGTCCCTGATCTGCCCAGCTGCCTACAGTGCTGTGCAGCAGCTCAGGACTGGGGCCATTTCATGAAGTACCAGCAGCTGCCTTACCCCGGTTTGCGTGTCCGAATCTTCGTCAGTTTGCAGCCCTCCAAGATGTGTTTTTCAGGGATGTCTTAGAAGTTGGGCAGCAGTAGAGGCTCAGATTCCCTTCAGACCGGCACCTTCTCCAGACTCCAGTGTTCGTCCCGCACTACATGTAATGCAGGGGTTGAGCTGACTAGTAATAATGCCCCAATATCCGATTATTGTCCCTTTATAGTGATAGTAAAATATTTACCAAACCCTTTTCTGACACCAGTCTTGTCTAACCGCCTTTGTCGATCATTTCATTCGATGTGCTACTTCAAGCTGCAGCATGTGCCAGCAGCTGCGGCTTTGTGTTCTAGTCTTTGATTCCTTTGTGGCGCAAGCGACAGCGACCACCAATCATGTGCCACCTGTGTGCCACCTGCGACTCAGCTACAGACCCTGCGCATTCACGAATGTGCACGCCGCTCTAGACCCTGAATGCCACGATCCCCCAACTCCGATTTCCTACATCACCGCACAGCCTGCTCCATTGGTCGAGGCTCCAGCAGGTGGATGAGATGCTGGCTGCCAGCATGAACCACCCATCGATCATGGCTTGGGCATGGTTCAATGAAGGCTCGGATATCCGAGAGCCAAGCGCCAAAGGGCTTGAACAACTCAAAACACAGCACCGCTCCAATTTCCAAGCCTACAAGACCACTCGGAAGGGTAGAGGTCAGCAGGTGGACCAGGTCAATTGGGACTGCACAGTGCTAGGTTTATTGCATTGCAGCATGTGCTCTAGTGCTTCAGGGTTGACGGCATGTCGGGTTTGAAGATTAGGGCTATTCCTGCAGCTGCAGCAGGACCCTCGAACGAGCTGGCTGCTTGCCAGGCGCCATTAGAGCGCATGGTCGCCGTCTGTCACCATTCGTGAGCCTTGATTGCCACAAGACACTGCGCCGCCACCGCAGACACTGCCGCGGTTGCCGACAGCTTCGTTACACCTCCACCTTGCATGGACAACACTAGCATCATCAAGACCGTCATGATGATAACCTAAGCTCTCAAAAAATCTTGAATATGGTCAAAGCCTAAAAACCCTTAAACCCTAGATCCAATTAAGCATTGAAAGCCCTACACCTTCCAAAGCCGAAAAACCCAACGAAACTTCAAACCCTAAATCCTACTGTAGGGTGCTGTGGTGTATATGTCTTACGGTTGACGGGAGTTTACCAGGGTGAAGGGATTAGCCGTGAAAGTCGTCGATGTACTCTAGCGTCTCACTGCAGAGGAACCATGATGATTCAATACAGATCACATAGCGCATTTTTCCTTAGGTCGTTCCCGGCCCTTGATAGCCCCTGTTTCCAATCTCTTGCCCTGACCCTTTGACAGCTGTGATCTTTTGACCGTACGTAATTAGCCGCTGAGTTCCCGAACTAGATGCTGTGTGTCGCGGGAGCTCAGTGGAGAGGAAGGCCGCCCTCATTAGCAGGCTTGCCAGATGCCCAGAGAACCCAATACCCCTTAATTAAGGAATATACCTTAAATCATAAATTAAGGCCCATATAATTGAAGGTATATTCCTGAATTGACGTGTATTGGGTTCTCTGGGTGCCCGCAGGCTTATCTGCAGTGCTCCTTGCACGCAGCGGAAGCGGACCCCTAGGGCTGGCGCTTTTCGAGTTGTTGGGGGTTTTGGGGGTTATTCCTAGTTATTCCGCGACCTGTTTCAGCTTCTTGTTGTCTACTTTTGAGTCTTAGGGTGCCGGAGACCGTGACTGTAAACAAAAAAGATTATGGGCCTCGGAGGTTTTGAGGGAGTTCAGAGGGTTCAAAGGGTAAGAGGGCTTAGGGGTCCTAACGTTCAGGGTGCTGACGGTCGATGATAAAGATCCTGCATTACCCATAATAAGGAATATACATACCATAATTCCCATAGTGTAGGTCCCTCAGGGTAATGCAGGATTTATATCATCAACAGCGAGGGTTCTCGTAGCGTCTTGGGTTCAGACTTGAGGATGCTGGGTTTTTGACCACCTGCGTCTTGCCTGCTCATGGTGCGCAACCCGGTGTGGTAAGCACCTTAAAGCAAGCCTTGATGTGCCAACGCAGAAGTGGCGGCTGGGGTTCTGGCGGTCTCAAGTAGAAGTATCCTTGAGCTCCTGGGAGACCTGTGCAGATTGAGCGCAGCCTTCTCCTTTTGCGTGCTTGTTGAGATCGCTTTACTTCGAGCCTCCGGGCTCCTTCCGAACTATAGGGTGTTTGTAACTAGGGATCCGGAACTCAAGCTGAGAGTTTTCGAGGGGAGGTGGGAAGAGGTTAGGGAGTTTAGGGCTTCATGGTCATAGGGGTCCTTGACCAAGCACATCCCCTGCCAAAGCACATCGCCGCCACAGCAACCAGAAAACGGCAACAACTCCGGTTCGTGGTCTACACTGATCCCTTCACAACCTTGAGCCTGTAGCCCTAGACCCTTAGGGTCTCTATATAGGGATCCTACAAGAGCAGGACCCCACCCGATTCCGCACATGGGCCTCCAACAAGAAGGAGGACGACAAGTGCCTGGAGCATGCGCCACGCTTCAAGCGCAAATCTGCCTTTTCAGAAGCTTCCGGTTTCATGTCGAGGTTCCTAAAATCGGGCATCCGCAATAAGCGGAGGCTGAGCAGTAGCGTCCCTTTGAAAAGGAATCCCCGAGGAAGCCACCCCTTACCATCAAAAGCCCCCCCATGCGTTGGGTCCTCGTGTTTTTGTTTTACGGTCATCCCGTCCCCGTCTGCATAGACTTGCCAGGCCAAGATTCGGCACGCCAGAGTGTGAAATCCAGATCTCTTGATACCCTACAAACCCAACGGCTCGAGCTACTACGGCTGGTGACATTCATCCTGCATGACCTTAAGGACCCTAAACTTTGGGAATTATGGTCTATCCCTTATTCTGGGTGATGCAGGATGTACATCATCAACCGTAGTACCCTAGCAGCAACTCATCGCGGTCTGAAAATAGAGGAGGTGGGTAAGCTAGTCGGGAGGATCACAGTCTTGGAACACGGTTGCACCTCGTCCTCGTCTGGACCGGAGTGCGGTCACTTGCTCGGATTTGCTAAGCTCCAACAGAACCCTAAACCCTAAAATGCAATCCGTTGGGCATAGATCCTCAGCCATGCGAGAGGGAACAAAAACCCTATAAGCCCGAATGTTTTTTTTGAGGTTTGCGGAGGGTTTGGCCTGCAGAGGCAGGCCTCGACCCGAAGGAGCAGCGTGTCCAGCCTTCCCATCCCGAACCTGCGCGTCCAAACCCTAAAACCCCAAGCCCTGAAGCCTGGGTTTAGGGTTCAGGGTAACCCTAAAGCCGCTGAAGCCTGCGAGCGCCCGAAGCCCTCAAACCCTAAAGCACTAAATGTAATTCTCTAAACCCACCCATTGAGGAAAAGCCTACTCCTCCTAGGGCTCCTCCTTGTGGTTTCCAACTGGGATTCGTTAGAAAGGGCCCGGGTGAAGGGTTTCGGGCTTCAGAGAGGGCTTAGGGTTCATGATTAAGTCCTAAGCCACCACCACCCGCAACAAAGACGTATGAGAGTCTCAGAAAACACGGCTCGTAATATCGAACTGGATGTCGGTAACCCCCACACAAACCCCACAAACTCTGAGGCCACAGCGGTGAGCTTCAACAGCTACCCAGCTTGGTATTCCGAGAAGCAGGACCTGTCGGCTCCAAAGCGCCACTCGGATGAACTCGGGGCTCAGGGTTTAGAGCGTTTAGAGCCACCCTAAACTTCTTAATAAAGGTAAACCCTAAGCACTAAACCTGGGTCTAGGGTTGGGGGCATTGGCCCAGAAGCTCCAATGGCATGTTTTGAAACAGAAGTCGGAGCAATGTCGTCGCAAGAATGAAGTTGACTGGACCCGCTGTAGGTGAACCTTTCGGTTCTGTATGTTATTTTCAGGTCCTTTTTGTTGAGGATCTTCCGTTGTGTGATTGCCTTCCCGAGTCCTAGTCATTTGAGTGGAGACCGAACCATGTGGAGCCTTGCCTGCTGTGTGCGAGCGTGGGTGTCGAAACCGGGCGGGTGGGGCAAAACCCTAACCCCTAAGCCCTAAACCCTAAAGCCTAGACCAATCAAGACTATCATCTCACGTTGCATTCTGAGCACGGCAACCCCTGGCACCAGTCCTACGGCTCAAGGCGAGTGGACCGCCAGCGCTGCCTGGGCACAGCGAAACTTCCCGGACACCCTTCGGTGTTGGGTTTCGGGTTTCGGGTTTAGGGTTGTGAAGTTTCGGGCTGGAGGTTCGAAGTGTCAATACGGGTAGCTCTCTAAGTTAAGGCCCCTTTTTTCGGTCCCCAACACAGAACGGCACCCTTATAACAAGGACCCCACAAGGCACCCTAGTTAGTTTAGAGAACTACCCGTAAACCAGAAGAGCTTCAGCTGGTAGCGGCGTTTCCGGTGTGCATTTTCGTCCGCAGCATGACAGTTCGGATTCCATACAAAGCTCGAATCATGCCTGCCTGCCTGCCTGCCTGCAGCCCTAAATGCAGAGTAATTTCCCTGTGCTGGACGGCAACCCCAAAGAAGGAGATATCAAGCCAACAACCCAAGCAGCAGCCACAAACCTTCGAACCGTTGTCGCCCCTCGCTATACAACTTCCGTTCTTGTAGTGTTCCGGGTTTCTTGTTGCAGCATCTTCATGGGGTCTCTGCACCAGTGGTTGCTGGTATTTCTGGCCTCGAGGTTTCGGAACACTCCCCATGGTTTGAGATTTGCTGGTGAACCCTGGAATTGTGTTCTGGGAGGCTAGGTACTTTATTCCAGGGTCGTAGCAATGCATCATATACCAAAGTTTCCAAAAGATCCTACTATTCAGCAGTCTTTTTGAGGGTTCATTCGTTGCTGAGGTTCCTGACCTTCAAGGTGCGGAGTATGCACATAGCACAGCTGCTTCTTTATTGCTTGGTCTTGGCTGTACTGGCGGCTTGCCAAATAGACTCGAAACACGATACGACGGTAAACCTTTAGCTAAACCGGGCCGTTTATGCCCCACTTGAACTTGTCTCACTCGCTGGAGGACAAGCCGTTCTTCATCAGCGAGACTGGCGCTGGAGGCCTATCTACTTCAACGCCAGCCCTGAAGTAAAGCTTGAGTGGCGGGCCCTGACCCCGGTAGTATCCGCCATTCATTTTGGCGATATCTGCGTGCTGACTTTCTCCACACGAGGCTTTAACTTAGCTTAAGGGCTGAGTAGGTAAGCTTCAACATTTTGAGGCTCTTATAATCGTACTATACTTCACAGGGATAACCGCGTTTGGGCTAGGGTACTCAGCCCCTAGGTAGACTAATATGCTGCCATGTCGAGCCACAGCTTGGCCGCCACAGGCACTTCCCATGTCACACTCCTTCCAGGCCCCCTCAAGCTGCCCCTAAACCCTAAACCCTAGAGCCATTCTTCTTCGAGCAATGTTTCTGGAGCCAAGGTTTCATGTTCATCCAACCTATCTCAGAAAGAGTGTCGTGATCGCCAAGACTACCTCTTCTTGTGGTTCTGGGCTCCGACCTCAAAATGACATTGGTAATTGCTTAGGCCCCTGTGGTGCCCCAGTCATCTAGCATACTGGCCCTAAAAAGCAAACCGCGGATGCCACAAGTACTAGGGACTTCTGCCCAGGTCTCTACGAATGGGCCACCAATGCAACAGATGCATACTGGACGCTCAAGTACCAGCAAGAGGCCGATACTCATCAACGACCAGATCCACACCATGAACTGTCACGTAATTTGCAATAGTATATATCCCCGCATGCATTGAAATTTAGAAGGGTTCGAAAATTCCACGATGCCTGTCTTCGCATGCTTCGGGGGAGGTGCCTGTGATCGACAGTCGAACTCACGCCTGCTGGACCCTAAGCCCATAAACCATTACTCATCAGCTCGCAGCGTCTAAGGTGCTAGGTATTGGAGCAACAAATGTGAAACGAATCTCCACCCATCCCACAGGCCCTAAAAGCCTGGAACACTGAGCCTAGAGACCGGCTTCATCCGTCTGACACCACCCATGCAGACTTTGCCCGAAGAGCCTCCGCAAGCGCTTTGAGAAGCTACCCATGCCTGCAAACCCAGAGAGCCGGTAAACTAGAGCTGGGACAGTTACAGGTCATCGATGCGGATGTCGACGTTGCTCTTGCGGACAGCAACGTGTCAGGATTGACTCTGTGGCATTTCTTCGACTTCAAAGGCGGGGTCCAGCATTTGCAATCGTTCCTATCTGCTAACACGGCTTTTGTTCCAAACGCTGTCCTACTACACTCTATGCCGACTTTTTCACAACACCACAAATGCACGGTAATTGGCAGCAGCACCCGCAGCAGCAACATCAGCCGCTGTGTGATTTGCTGCGCGATCTGGACATCCATCCCGACATGTTTGAGGATCTTGATGCCAGGGTCTGTTGAGACAGCTTGTTCTGAAAACGACCGGCCAAGATCCGATCGCGAGTCCTCGAAGCCGGAATTCCGAATGGTCCGAGGGTTTAGGTTAGGGGTTTAGGTTGGCTCTTCGGGCCTTCGACTGGCAACTCTTGTGGAAGTTGTTTGAGCACATTCGTGCCTTCAAGTGCCTCTGAAGAAGGCATACTGTACCTCCACCTCCTACATCGGGAGCCCTTTTTTTTAACATCGAACAACCGACTATGGAAACCATAAGCCCTAAAACCCGAGGCCCTTTAACGGCTAAACCCCAACGGCCTAAACTGAGGCTTCGGATCCGGCATGTAGGCTGCTCATGCTGCAGTGTGTGGTTTGGTGGTGGCTGGCAGTTTCGTGAGCCCTCCGGAACAGGGTATTAGGGACTATGCAAGGTGCGGGTCGAACTATCCATTATTCATACCATCTCGTGGGAACCGGTGCCATGGGTCACAAATGAAAACGGCTGCGGCTTCCACTCAGCTCCGACATCTGAACTCAAGCCGAGTCGATATTACTAGTATGATCAATAAGTGCCCCTGCCCTGAGACGGCAAAAGCTGGGGGGCTCAAATCAGATGAGACTTACAAAAGAAGGGTTTTTTCGTCAAGGGTAAACGTTTACCGCCCGCAGTCTTTCTGAACCCCAACTTCAAGCTACGAACCAGCCCTAAGCTGAGAACCCTACGCCGTTCGGCAGGGAATGACGAGGCTCAGATGTGCGGTGAGGAGCCCGGGGGTTGAGGGTTTAGGGACCTTGTCTGTTTGGATATAGAGATCCGGGTTCAAACAAGGGGAGCTTGTCCGAACACCCTAAACCCTAAACCGGAGGCCGTAGAGGCTCAGATGCTTGAGATCTTCAGGTAATTCCAGATTCTGATTTTGTTCTCTGCAATCATAGGCTGGCTCAGGTCATGAGCCAGAAGCCCTGCGCTGCACACACTTTGCTTTTTTTCTATGCTGTACTTTAAACGGGTAAGTTCAAGGACATCGTGGTCTGCGACGGCGTTCATTCGAGGAATCGAGATGACTCCCCTGTTGAAGGTACTTGATGTCCACGGAGCTTCTTCGAACGAGGGATCGTTCACTTGTGGCGCCCTCCTGCTTGGAGTTGTTTAGGGCCCAAGGACAACCCTGAACCCTAGGGCCCCAAACCCCCACCCCACTCCCTTGGCTGGGCGGGTGTGAAAACTCTGGCCCCGGAACAGTTCCCCAAGCTTTTGACTGAGGCCCCTGCCAGTATCTTCCTGGCGTGCAGCCGCCCACGTGTGGATGGTACAACATGTCAGGCAGGGGCTAAGAAGTTCCCACCAGTCTCTTCAGCTGCGAGACGAACCCGTAGTCCCGACTCCCGAATCCCCCACACCAGAACCTCTGAACTCCAAATCCTCCTGAACATCAGTTAGTTAGGCAGGATCTGCGTGACGTGGTTTAGGCAAGGCAAGGCCGTTCGGCAGAATAGCCATGATCTGCACCATCTTATTCTGTCAGCCCTGATTGCCTCCCCTCCCCCCAATTCCGTCTCCACGAAGCCGGAAGCCATAATGTTTGAAGATCTGCTAAGACGTTGTATGAAAGGCCTACGCCCAACTTGTTTCTCTGAAGCCCCAAAGCACTGGAGGTCATTGCGAGAATCGCCCTGGTGGGCTGAATCACAAGGGAGTGCTGGACCCCTACAGACGCACCCTGGCATGAGTGGAAGCATGCACAGAGGCAGCCATATCAGTACTGTCGCACAAATGCTGGTCTTTCTTGTCTAGGGGTCCTGACAAACGCCGCATCGAAGGGCTCACCCCAACATACTGTAAACTTCTGCCTGCTGTTACTACGCCAGCTACTACTGTACTAGCTACTTCTTCTTCTGCTATTACTACTACTGCTACTGCTTCTGCTGCTGCTACTCCTACTCCTCCTTCTCCTACTCCTAGTATGGATGCATACGCATTCTGCCCAACTTTTTGGTGCATCGGTACTCCTACTACTACTACGACTACGACTACTACCACTACTGCTACTGCTACTGCTACTGCTACTACTACTGCTCCTCCTCCTCCTCCTCCTACTACTACTCCTCCTCCTGCTGCTGCTGCTGCTGCTACTGCTACTGCTACTCCTACTACTACT